GCTTGAAGGAAATCTAGAAACAGGAAGAAAAAAGAAACTGCAGTTTGAAAACCTAACCAGCATCATGCTTCAAGCAATCACACCTGAACGTCATGAAGAAATTCAGGTCAAGAGTGATCAGGCTAGAGCAGAATGGGAGGATTTTCAGAACAGTCTGGAAAAAACAAAGAGCCATTTACAGCAAGTTCTGCATTTGTGGAAGAAGTATGAAGAAGAATTTGAAGCATTCAGTGCATGGCTTCGAGACATGGAAGCTCGAGTGAAAAGTGAGACATCCCAGCAAGTTGAAATAGACTCTTTAGAACAACAACTGAAGACATTAGAGGTACAACTCCTGTTTTTAAAACAAAACAAAATTTAAATAAGAACAACAAACAAATGTAGCTACAGTGTTGTGAGTCTTAGAGTACAAAGAAACTATTAAAGTTACCATAAGAGAATAAGACATAATGATCAATAATTCAGTCAACTGGAAATAAGGAATTGAATTATACAGAAATATCATAGGTTTAATCACAAAATAAAATACAATATGTTCTCTAATACATGAATTATGTTTGAAATACTTAAACAAATACTGCATTCAGAGTCCCTGAGTAAATGTGCTTTTTGAAAACAGCTAGAAGGCACTGTAAAAATGTGCAGTGTAATAATTTTCCAACCTAAAGAAGCATAGTTTTAACTCAAATATCTTCCACTTCTTCCATTTCATCACACTTCTTTAGGTTTTAGAAAATATTACATCACACTTCTTTAGGTTTAGAAAATATTACATCACAATTCTTTAGGTTTTAGAAAATATTACTTCACACTTCTTTAGGTTTTAGAAAATATTACATCACACTTCTTTAGGTTTTAGAAAATATTACATCACACTTCTTTAGGTTTAGAAAATATTACTTCACACTTCTTTATGTTTAGAAAATATTACATCACACTTCTTTAGGTTTTAGAAAATATTACTTCACACTTCTTTAGGTTTTAGAAAATATTACATCACAATGATTTAATTGTGTATATGGATCTAGATGAAGTGTACTATACCAGTGGAAGATACTTGAGTTAAAAATATTATGATTTAGTTGTGTATATGGATCTAGATGAAGTGTACTATACCAGTGGAAGATACTTGAGTTAAAAATATTATGATTTAATTGTGTATATGGATCTAGATGAAGTGTACTTACAAACAGAAAATTCATTTCAAAGATTGATGATGTCTTCATGCAGGGTTTACAACAGGATGTAAAAAATCATCAGAAGCCATTAGAAAATCTCATGGATCTAACTCAAGAAATCAGTAAGGAAAGTCCAGAGTCTCGTGTGACTAATCAAGTAACACAACTCAAAACACGATTTACTGCTTTGGAAAAGGCCCTCCAGGTTAGAAATGTTTTAGTTGATAAAATAGTTAAATTATTTAAGGGTATTATTTACCATTTGAAATGTGAATTTGTATGACTACAATAAAAAATCTGATAATCCAGAAAAACGGTAGTTGTTTAGGTTAAATAAATAATAATTCACTAAATCTTTGCTATATGATATAAACCTAATGAATTATATGTGTAATAGTAGCAGCATTGAAAGGAATGGTTAATCTAAGAAGTAAATAACTCTGTTGGAATTAATGTATAAATCATCGTGTTAGGACTAAATAGCATGCAAGTTTACCTTTAATGACTAACAAACAAAGTAACTGTAAAAAATAATTAACAAATAATTTTTAAAGATGTGTATAAATTTATGTTATATATCAATAATAAGGGAAATATATATTTAATGCCTAATTTATAGATATCTTGTTTAAATTACCTCAGTTACTTTCATGTAACTGACTAAATATCCAAAAACACATTTAATAAAGGATTGTGGTTTGAACTTTAACATGTTAAAAGTGATCGTTTCTTGTTTTCTATACAGAATGCAGTTGTGAGAGTTAGGGATTTGATGAAAACTGAGGAGAGCTATAAAAGAGCCAAGAGAGACCTCCAATCCTGGTTAGATATAATGGAAAGAAAACTTGAATTATCTGCTGAAGCTAGTGGAGATCGAGCTCTATTGGAAGGCAGATTGGAAACTCTGAAGGTAGCTTGAGCTTCATGACATAAAACCCTTTGATAGGGTGGAGACTGGGTGTGATAACATATAGCCATTTGATAGGGTGGAAACTGGATGTGATAACATAAAACCCTTTGATAGGGTGGAGACTGGGTGTGATAACATATAGCCGTTTGATAGGGTGGAAACTGGATGTGATAACATAAAACCATTTGATAGGGTGGAAACTGGGTGTGATACATAAAGCCATTTGATAGGGTGGAGACTGGGTGTAATACATAAAGCCATTTGATAGGGTGGAGACTGGGTGTGATAACATAAAGCCATTTGATAGGGTGGAAACTGGGTATGATAACATAAACCCCTTTGATAAGGTGGAGACTGG